GTCGGAGGAAAACTCACCACCCCTGTCAGGGTGAAGACGTAGGACGGGAAAGTCCGACTGGAACCGCTCGCGGAGCTGGAGATGAGCAGCGCGGATCCAAGGGATCAAAACATCACGGACCTCACCCTTGGTGTGCAAGGGGAAGACCGTGGTGTAGCGCGTGTAGTCTTCGACGACCAGCAGGAAGTACCGCTCGTGGCCCTGTCCATGGACACGGGCTGGGCCCCATACGTCCAGGTGGAGAGTCTGCAGGGGAGCCTCTGTGGGAGGGAACGAGGAGGAGTGAGGAGTGGCGCGCTGCCGCCCCTCAACACAGGGAAGACAGGGGGGATTAGGCGAGGGTAGGAGGGGAGGGAGAACCCTGGGAAGACCAGAGACAAGGTACCGGGAGTGCGTGCCACGAAGGCGCTGCACTGAGGGGTGATCAAGGCGGTGGTGCAAGAGGACGGTCTTGTGCGACAGGGTGCGACACGAGCAGGGGGCGGACAACTGACCTGTCGCAGATGCAGACGCCGCTATCTGAGGGGACTCAGTGGTCAGTGTGTACAAGTCCGACCCCGGCTGTCGAGTGAAGGTACCCAGGTGACGACCCGTCCGGGCACACGTGCAGTGTGTCACACGCTCGTAGGCAAGGGTGAAGTGGTGAACACTCGCGTCCTGGAGCGCAAAACCCGCCACCAAGTTCGTAGAGAACGAGGGGAGGTAAAGGCCCAACAGTGTGCCGGACGGGACAGCAGGACAAGGGAGGGCAGTGGTGGAGGTCGCAAGGACCGGACCCCCGGAGGGGTTAGCCAGGGAGACAGCAACCGGTCTAGGGAGCTGCTCTAGGGCAGTGCGGTTGCGAAAGAAACAGCAGGAAGCATCTGAGTCCAGTGTGAAGGTGTGCAGTGCCTCAGTAGACGTAGTACCTGAAGGCGCAGACTCACAAGCACATGAAGCAGCAGACTCACAAGCGCCTAGAGCAGCAGCCTCACCAGCACCTGGAGCAAGAGACGCACGAGCGCCTAGAGCAGCAGCCTCACCGGCACCTGGAGCAGTAGACTGGATACCGGGGTGAGGCGGCACACACAGGTGACAGGCTCCCTCAGCACTAGTAGACAATGCATACATTGCAGTGAGAATAGCATCATAGTCAAGAGCAAAGATATCTACCCTCTGCCTAAGCAGCTCCACCCAGTCGGGGAGCTCAGCGTCGTCGCCAAACTCTGTACGCCAAGCGTCGCTCAGACAGGCGAAGCAGCGAGACTCTGAGTGACCAGGCGTCCCGCAAGGCTGACCAGTCTGGACACCCGTGCTAATAACATACGGGCAGCGAGCAGTACCCAGTGACCCTCTACTCTGAGTGTACCACTCACGAAGCTGCTGGGGTGAACGAGTCTCGCGCAGACGACGCTGCTGCTGCACTGGGCCACTATAAGAAACTCCCAAACTACCCACTCTAGGACGACTCCCACTACTGCCACCCCGACAACCCCAACTGGCGTACCACTCCTGACGCTGCGGGGGCGTGAGGGACACACGCGGACGGCCCTGGAGCTGCATCTGGCCATGCCAGGTGCAGCAGTAGAAGCAGTAGTAGCAGGAGCAGCAGTAGCAATAGCAGCAGCAGTAACAGCAGTAGCAGCATAGGCAGGGCAGTGCTCACTAGTGGTGGGAAGGGCAGGCGCACGACGGAGGCGACTGCGGGGCCGCTACACCGGCAGGGCGGGGCCGCGACCGTGGCAGGGAGCTCCGTGGCAGTTGCTGCAGGGCGGGACCGGGCCGCGACGGCAGCTGGTGCAGGGCAGGGACAGGGCCGCGACGGTCGCTGCTGCAGGGGCGGCTGCTCCAGGGGCCAGGTGCGGCTGCTGCAATGGCGGCTGCTACAGGGGTGGCTGCTCCAGGGGCGGCTGCTCCAAGGGCGGCTGCTCCAGGGGCCAGAGGCGGCTCCTGCAATGGCGGCTGCTCCAGTGGCCAGGGGCGGCTGCTGCAGGGGCGGCCGCTCCAGGGGCCAGGGGCGGCTGCAGGTGCGGCTACTCCAGGGGCAAGGGGCGGCTGTTGCAGGGGCGGCTGCTCCAGAAGCGGCTGCTCCAGAAGCGGCTGCTCCAGGGGCCAGGCGCGAGGTAGGGCAGGGCGACGCGACGGGCAGGGGCGACGCGGCGGGCAGGGCGACGCGGCGGGCAGGGGCGACGCCGTGGGCAGGGCGACGCGGCGGGCAGGGGGCGACAACGTGTCAGCAGCTGGGCGCGGCCGCGTCAGTAGCAGGGCGCGGCCGCGTCAGCAGAAGCGCGCGGCCGCGTCAGCAGTAGGGCGCGGCCGCGTCAGCTGCAAGGGTGGCGGAGCCGCGTCACGGCAGGGCGGGGTTGTGTCCGTGTCGGCGGCAGGGCGGGGCCGCGACCGCGGCAGGGTGGGGCCGTGTCGGTGACAAGGCGGGGCCGCGACAGCAGCCTGACGGGGCCGCGAAAGCGACCTGACGGGGTCGCGCGCTGGCCTGACGGGCCTGCAGAGGCTGCGTGCGGGCGGCGAGGGCCTGAAGGGGCGGCGCGCGGTCGAGCAAAGGCTGCGCGCGGATGGCGTGGTTCTGTAGGGGCAGCGTGCCAACCTGACGGGCTTGCAGGGGCGGCTCTCGGGCCTGACGGGCCTGCAGAGGCGGCTCGGGGGCCTGACGGACCTGCAGGGGCGGCTCGAGGGCCTTACTAGCTTGCACGGGCAGCGCACTGGCCTAGGGCAGCAGGAGGCAGCGCGAGGGCTGCAGGACGGCGCGCGGGCAGAACGAAGGGCGGGGCGCGCGAGGGCGCACTAGCAGAAAAAGGCGCACGAGGGCGCACGTAAGGTAGGGCGCACGAGGGCGCTTCTAGCGGAATAGTGGGCCTGTAGTAGGAAGCGGTCCTAGGTGGCAACCTAGGCTCGTGATACCATGTCAAGATACTAAGCACCTAGGAAACTAGGTTTGGGCTTAGGATGCATAGTTAGGAATAGGAGCTAGGGTTTGGCCTAGGCAAAGTAGAAGTCCAAGCAAAAAGGAGTGTTCAACTATATAATGACAAGTACAAATAGAGGAGAAGCATGCAAGGAGTGGTGCACCACCACACAGGACAATAATGGGACTACACTACAGCTAGAACGACATGCGCTTATACAGAACATATATCAAATATATTCTGACACTTATTTCTTGGGTTGTCTTTTATTTGGGACGGTTTAGGGTGTCTTATTAGTCTTATAAATGGAAAAAAAACCGCTTAGAGCATACTCCCTCGTTATACAATTGCCCCTAACCCCTGCATTGGCTTAACTCATACACACAAATAATGAGGCTACCCGGTTTATAAGGGACTCCCGGATAATAGACACCCCCTGTCTTATATTCAACACTGTCTTATATCCGAGTGTCACAACAGTGGTTAGAACGCAAGAGCCATAACTAGGGTTTGGGCTAGCTAGGCAAGAGTGTCAGAAACATATTGTAGGCTGTAGTGGGGTTGACAATATGGGGTACAACACTTTTAGGTTTGCATATTTGTACCCACCTGTTTCCTAATTCACTCATTCCTTGTACTATTTTCACATGGTATAGAGCGAGTTCCCTAGTGGGACCGTTTTTTTTAGGGCCCACCACTTCAATTTTTTTCCTGCCCTGCCCGAAGCGCGCTCCTGCCCCTGTCGCGCGCCTCGCGCCTGTCTCACCTACGCCCCGTGCACCTACCCTGCTGTCGTGGCCCCTGCTGTCGCGGCCGTATTTCGAGCCGTCGCGGCCCTATTTCGAGCCGTCGCGGCCCTGCCCTACTGTCGCGGCCCTGCCGCCCTGCCGTCGCGGCCCTCCCTGACGCCGTCGCAGCCTCACCCTGCAGTCGCGGCCCTGCCGCCTTGCCGTCGCGGCCCTGCCTGCCGGCATCGCGACCCCACCCTGACGCCGCTGCGGCACCACCCTGCAGACGCGGCCCTGCCGCCTTGCCGTCGCGGACCCGCCCTGCCGTCGCGGCCCCACCCTGCAGCCGCGGCCCTGCCGCCCTGCAGTCGCGGCCCTGCTTGCCCTGCAGTCGCAGCCCCACCCTGATGCCTTCGCGGCCCCACCCTGCAGTCGCGGCCCTGCCGCCCTGCCGTCCCGGCCCCACCTGACGCCCTCGCGGCCCGGCCGCCCTGACGTCGCGGCCCCGCCGCCCTACTGTCGCAGCCCTGCCGCCCTCCCGTAGCGGCCCTGCCCCCCTACTGTCGCGGCCCTGCCTGGAGCCGTCATGGCCATGCCTGCCGCCGCCGTGGCCCTTCCTACAGCCGCTGTTGCGGCCCTGCCTACAGCCGCTGTTGCGGCCCTGCCTCGTCGCGGCCCTGCCTGACGCAGCCCTGACCTACCGGTGCGCCTCGGCCCTGCCCTTCTAGTTGCAGCCCTACCCCGATCCCGCCCTGGTAAGCGCACCGCCGCGCCCGTGCCGCCCTGCTGAGCCGCGCCGCCCTGCCGAGCCGCGCCGCCCTGCCGAGTCGCGCTGCTCTTGCTGCTGCTGCTACTGCTGCTACAGCTACTGCTACTGTTGCTACTGCTACTGTTGTCATGGCTACCCCTAATGTCCTTTCCTTCAATGCTGAGGGTCGGGCAATTGATTTCGAGGTCTGGGTCGATGATCTACAGCTGTTTCTGCAGTGCGATAGCAAGGACGGAGTCTCGCTTTTTTATCTTACGTCTGGCACCTCTACTGCACCTACTACTGATGCTGACAGTACTGTTCGCTCGCAGTGGACCACACGCGATGCTGCTGCCCGTCTTACTATTCGTAGTCACCTGCCATCTGCTGAGCGCGCGCACTTTAGCCCGTACAAGATTGCTAGGACTCTGTACGATGCTGTTGTTGCGCGCTACTCCTCCCCTGCCACTGTTGCCCCTAGCCGCCTCATGCTACCGTACCTATTCCCTGACCTAGCCGCTTTTGCCACAGTCGCTGACCTCATTACGCACCTCCGCACTAGTGACACCCGCTACCGCGCTGCGCTTCCTGCCGAGTTCTACGCCGCGAACCTCCCCCCCCCCTATGTACATCACTCTCTACTACCTCGTCACCCGGCTCCCTGACTCCCTTCGCTCGGTCAGGGACCACTTCCTTTCCCTTTGCCCCACCACACTCACCGTTGACCTCCTCGAGGAGCGCCTCCTAGCAGTTGAGAAGAGTATAGTCGCTGTAGGAGCCTCTCGTGGTGACCCTCGTGCCCCTTTCTTTGAGGGGTGCTCCCCCGTTCCCCTCTTGCCTTCTGTTGCCTCTGCTGCTGCTGTCGACCTCGTTGGCACCGAGTCGGTCGACGCTGCGTCTGCTCCTAGTGGGAGGCGCCGCAGCGGCATTAGCAAGGGGGGCAAGGGTGCTAAAGGAGACGGCGGGGGCGGCGGTGGTGGCGGTGGAGGCAGTAGAGGGGGTGGGGGTGGAGGTGGGGGTGGTGGCGGGGGTGGGGGCTTCGGTGGCGGCAGTGGAGGTGGAGGCAGCGGAGGCAGCGGCAGTGGGGGTGGAGGTGGCGGCAGCGGCGGCGGCGGTGGGGGTGGCGGCGGCGGTGGTGCTGGTCAAGGTGGCGCTGTGCAGCGGGGAGGCTTTGGCGGTGGGCAGCGCCAGCAGCAGCAGCGCACTCATGAGACCCTGTCGCCCCAAGAGCTTCGTGAGTGGTACGCTGGTTGTGGGAGGTCTGGGGGTGCTGGTTCCTGCGCTTACGTTCTCCGCACCGGCGACTGCAGAGGGGAGACGTGTGGAGGACCGCGCGCAACACTGCGCTACTTTGGCCGCCTGACTGACGCTTGGCGTACGCAGTTTCCCGACTCCTCTGAGATCCCTCGCTGGGGTGATCTACTTAAGTCGGGGGTTGCTATCTTTGGTCTTGATTATGATGCTATCCTTGCTGCTATGTATGCTGTGTCTATTAGTGCTGAGGGTGACTATTACCTGTGTGTTCCGCCCGACCTGGGCATTGAGGCTGCTGCTCTAGGTGCTAGTGAGTCTGCTCCTCCAGGTGCTGGTGAGTCTGCTGCCCCAGGTACTGGTGAGTCTGCTCTCTCAGGTACCGTGCCGGCTCAGGCCTTACACACTTTCACCCTTGACTCGGATGCTTCCTGCTCCTTCTTTCGCGACTGCACCACACTCTCGCCGCTCAGTCGGCCCGTGGCAGTCTCTTTGGCTGACCCCTCTGGGGGTCCGGTCCTTGCTCACTTCTCCACGGTCCTGCCGTACGCGGCGATCCCGTCTGGCTCTCTGTCCGGCCTCCACCTCCCCTCGTTCTCCACGAACTTGGTGAGTGGAGCTATACTTCAGGACGCCTGGGTTGACCAGTTCACTCCTGGAGGTCAGCGGGTGACCCACTGTTCGTGTACTCGGACGGGCCGGCACCTGGCCACGTTCACTCGTCTGCCTGGGTCGAGCCTGTACACCCTGTCTACCGTGTCTCCTCCGGTTGCTGAGTCTGGTCAGGTAGCTGCGTCAGGTTAGGTGTCTGCTGCAGTGTCCCGGTCTGGTCCTTAGTCTGCCCCCGGGGGTTCGGGAGCCGCTGGTCCCGGAGGTGCTCGTACTGGAGGTACTGGAGCTGCTGGGGCTGGAGCTGCTGGAGGTGCTGGAGCTGGCGGTACTACTGCACCCGGTACTGGCGGAGGTGCTGGCTTTGGCGCTGCTTTAGCTACTGGGGCTTCAGGTGGTTATGCTGGAGTAGGAGGTTATGGAGTTGGAGGTGCTGCTGGAGCCGGTGCTCCTGGGGGTGCTAGAGTTGGCGGTTTTGGTGCTGCTGGAGCTGGTGGTGCTGCTGGAGTTGGAGGTGCTACCATTGGGGGTGTTGGTGCTGTCCTTGCTGGTTCTGGAAGAGTTGCGCGGCCGCGGCCGTACTACGTTCCGCTCCTTCAGCAGGTTCTTGGTCTTCCGCCTTCTACTGGTCCCGCTCCTTCCTTAGAGTGTCCACTGCCTGTCCAGTCGCAGTCACAGTTACAGCGCGCCTCCCCATTGCTTGCTCCTTATCCTTACACTGGTCCGACCGGAAGTCTTACGGAGCGTCGTGAGCCTAAGTCTCGTCCTGCCTCGCCTGTTTAAGCTGCTCGAACTGGTCGTCGTGGTCCGCGTCAGTGTCCTCCTCCTGTCCCTGGCACGCACCAGATGGCTCTGCGTCCTTCCACTGCTCCGCAGCGTGTCCATCTGCCATCTCCTCCTGCGTCCTCTCTTCCTGCCCTTGCTCACCCGGAGTATGATGTCAAACATTATATATGTTGTGCTTGTTTAGGCTACAATGGGTTAGCCTATAGGGGGTACACAATTCTAGGGTTAGGTACTTGTACTGATTTCACTGTTAGTTCAATCAATCCTGTTCGTTCATTTCAACATGGTATAGAGCAGGTCCTTCGCTAGGACCGTTTTTTTTAGGGCCCACCACTACCTACCTACCTACCTAACTGCGCCCTAGGGCGCCTCGTTTTTAACGGCCCCCTAAGGCCCCGCGACCCGCGACCCGCCCCTTTAGGCCCCGTCGGCCCACACGCTCGCCCCTTACAGCCCCGCGCTCGCCCCTTAGCGACCCTGTCGGCCCCGCGATCGCCCCTAACGGCCCCGTCGGCCCCGCGCTCACCTCCCTAGAGGCCCCCGTCCGCCCCGCGCTCGCTCTTAGTGGCCCCTTACGGCCCCGCGCTCGCCCCTAGAGGCCCCGAACGGCCCCGCGCTCGCCCTTAGCGGCCCCTTACGTCCCCGCGCTCGCCCCTAGAGGCCCCGAACGGCCCCGCGCTCGCCCTTAGTGGCCCCTTACGGCCCCGCGCTCGCCCCTAGAGGCCCCGATCGGCCCCACGCTCGCCCTTAGCGGCCCCTTACGGCCCCGCGCTCGCCCCTAGAGGCCCCGAACGGCCCCCCCAGAACGAGCCGCCCGACCCGAGTAGCCCGAACCGGGCCGCCCAGCCAAAACCGAGCCGCCCGGACCGAGCCGCCCGAACCAAGCCGCCCAAACTGAGCCGCCCGAACCGAGCCCCCCAGCCCAAACCGAGCCGCGCTGCCCGAACCTAGCCGCGCCGCCCTTCCCGAGCCGCGCCGCCCTACCTGAACCGAGCCGCGCCGCCCGTACTGGATCGAGCCGCCCTACCTGAGTCGCACTGCCTACTGTTTTTCGGATGCCCCTACTGCTATTACTCCTACTACTGCTATGGCTAGCCCTCCTGTGCTAGCTTTCGATGCTGAGGGCCGCCCAGTGAAGTTCGAAACCTGGCTAGATGACCTACACCTCTTCTTACAGCTCACTGCCAAGGAGGACATCTCAATGTACGATCACGCCCTAGGCCATGCTCCTGCTCCTGCTGCTACTGCTGACAGCACTGCCCGCTCACAGTGGCAGACTCGTGACCACCACGCTCGCTTCGCTATTCGCAACTCCCTGCCGATAGATGAGCGTGAGCACTTTGGGCAGCACAAGACTGCATAGGCACTGTACACTGCTGTCGTTGCCCGCTACTCCTCACCGGCCTCTGCCGCACTAGGCCGTCTCTCTCTTCCCTACCTGTTTCCCGACTTAGCCTCTTTCCACACAGTCGCTGACCTTATTACGCACCTCCGCACTAGTGAGGCTCGCTTCCGCGCCGCCATGCCTGATGAGTTCCTTGCCAAGAACCCACCCCCACTCTGGCTCACTCTCTACCACCTAGTCACCCGCCTCCCTGACACTCTGCGCTCAGTCAGGAACCACTTCCTAGCTCGCTGCCCCACTGAGCTCACCATTGCCCTCCTTGAGAAGGAACTCCTTGCAGTTGAGGCTAGCATAGTCGCTGTAGGTGCCTCTCGTGGCGACCCCCGTACCCCGTTCTTTGAGGGGTGTTCTCCTTCCCCCCTTCTTCCCTCTGTTGCCTCTGCTGCTGCTGTCAACCTCCTTGGTGCTGAGAAGGTCGGGACTGCGTCTGCTTCGAGCGGGCGCCGCAGCGGCAAGGGCAAAGGGGGCAAGGGCGGTGGCGGTGACAGCGGGGGAGGCGGTGGTGGGGGCTGTGGCGGCGGTGGGGGTGGTGGCGCGACTGGAGGGGCTAGTGGCAGCGGTAGGGGGGGTGGTGGCGGCAGCGGCGGGGGAGGTGGCAGGGGCGGAGGCGGTGGTGGGGGTGGCGGTGGACGCGGCGGCGGCAGGGGCTGGGGTGGTCGAGGAGGTGGCGGCAGCGGTGGTGGTCGTGGAGGCGCTGGCGGTGGCCAGGGCCAGCAACACACTCCGTCGCCCCAGGAGGTCCGTGAGTGGTACTCTCAGCACGGGGGGAGGGGTGGCTTTAGCTGCACGTACGTCATTCGCACTGGTGACCGCACTGGTCAGCCGTGTGGGGGACCGCACGCCACACAGCGTTGCTTCGCTCGTCTCAACGACGCTTGGCGTGTTCAGTTCCCTCAGGCCACTGAGCTGCCCCGCTGGGTTGATCTCCTAAAGAAGGGGATTGATATCTATGCTCTAGACTTTGATGCTATTCTCACTGCTATGTATGTGATGTCTACTAGTGGAGAGGGTGCTGAGTACCTGTGTGTGCCGCCCGACCCGTGCATTAGGACTAGTGCGTCTGCCGCTCCAGGTACTCGCGTGTCTACTACCCCAGGTGCTGGTGAGGCAGCTGCTCTAGGTGCTTGTGCGTCTGCCCCCCCTGGCACTGAGTCGACGACAGCACTGCACACCTTCACACTGGACTCAGGTGCTTCTCGCTGCTTCTTTCGTGACCGCACTGCCCTTGAGCCGCTTGCTCGGCCAGTTGCTGTCTCCCTCGCTGACCCCTCTTGGGGTCCGGTCATTGCGACCTCCTCCACTGTCCTTCCCTGTCCTGCGGTCCCGTCGGGCACACTGTCAGGTCTCCACCTCCCCTCGTTCTCTACGAACTTGGTGGCAGGTAGTGCACTCCAGGACGGGGGTGTTCACCAGTTCACCCCTGCCTACGAGCGCGTGACACACTGCACGTGTGCTCGCACGGGCCGCCACTTGGCTACCTTCACTCGGCAGCCGGGGTCGGACCTATACACACTGACCACTGAGTCCCCTCAGGTCGCTGCGTTTGCGTCTGCGTCCGCGTCAGGTCAGCTGTCTGCCCCCTGCTCGTGTCGCTCTCTGGCGCATGAGACTGTTCTCTGGCACCACCGACTTGGCCACCCGTCTGTGCAGCGCCTTCGTGCCATGCACTCCCGGTACCTTGTCTCCGGTCTTCCCAGAGTCCTCCCTCCCCTCCCACCCTCGCCTGCTCCTCCCTGTCTTCCCTGCGTCGAGGGGCGGCAGCGCGCCGCTCCTCACTCCTCCTCGTTTCCCCCGACGACTGCTCCCTTGCAGACGCTCCACATGGACGTGTGGGGCCCAGCCCGCGTCCGTGGTCAAGGTCATGAGAGGTACTTCCTGATAGTTGTTGACAACTACTCGCGCTACACCACAGTCTTCCCCTTGCGCACCAAGGGTGAGGTCTCTGATGTCTTGATCCCTTGGATCCGCAGAGCCCGTCTCCAGCTCAGCGAGCGTTTCCACTCAGACTTTCCTGTCCTGCGCTTGCACTCTGACAGAGGTGGTGAGTTCTCCTCTGACCTCTTGGCAGCCTACTGTGCTGAGCACGGCATTGAGCAGTCGTTCACGCTTCCGACCTCTCCACAGCAGAATGGGATTGCAGAGCGCCGCATTGGCCCGGTCATGGAGGTCGCCCGTACCTCCTTGATCCATGCGGCTGCCCCCCACTTTCTGTGGCCGTTTGCGGTCAGGTACGCTGCGCATCAGCTCAACCTCTGGCCCCGTGTCTCCTTGCCGGAGACCTCGCCCACACTGCTGTGGACGGGGGAGGTTGGCGATGCGTCGCGTTTCCGGGTCTGGGGATCTCGTGCTTTTGTCCGCGATACGTCTGCGGACAAGCTCTCCTCCCGTGCTGTTCCCTGCGTCTTCCTCGGCTTTGTCCCGGACGCGCCTGGTTGGCAGTTTTACCACGCCACCTCGTGCCAAGTCTTGCCCTCTGACGACGTCACTTTTGACGAGTCCGTCCCCTACTACCGCCTCTTCCCCTACCGCACTGCCCCGCTCTCCCCCCCGCCTCTCTTCCTCGCGCCAGGTGCTGCTGTCGTAGACCCCCTCCCCCCTCAGGGTGCCGCTCCCTCCGGTGTGTCTCAAGTAGACCAGGTTGAGCCTGTTGAGGTAGCTGTCGACTCTCGTCCTGCTGTGGGTGCGGAGCCTGGGGGTGCTGAGCCTGGGGGTGCGGAGCCTGGGGGTGTTGATCCTGGGGGTGCGGAACCTGGGGGTGCGGAGCCTGGGGGTGCGGAGCCTGGGGGTGCGGAGCCTGGGGGTGCTGAGCCTTGGGGTGCGGAGCCTGGGGGTGCTGAGCCTGGGAGTACTGAGCCTGGGGGTGCTGAGCCGCAGAGTGCGGAGTCTGGGGGTTCAAAGTCTGGAGGTCCTAAGCCTGAGGGTCCTACACCCGGCAGAGCCCTCTCCTCGGAGCGCCTGCGTGAGTGGTACTTCCAGTACTGCAGCCTCAGGAGAGGTACCTCTG